TTTTTGAAAACAAAAAGTGCACAATTAAACAAAGCTTTACATTGTAGATTGTGGAGCTTTTCACGCTGCATCTCGTGGTATATTTTTGTTTTTTTAATAATACTTATTTTGAAATTAAAATATGCAATGCAAAGTGCGGCCATTTATTATGGGTCACCCGTTAACTATTGCCGACATAGACAATTTTTTACTAATTATAAAAACATCGATCATAATAAAAAATTATTAATCATCTGCAAAAAAAAAATAGTATTATTTTTGGGACTAGAGCAGTTTGCAGAAATATCACACAGAAAAATGCTTGAATAATGTATCGAGAAATAAAGGAAGCATAAAAATAACAACAAAAATTTCAGTTGAATTCACCAAGTATTTTGAGTAAAAAAAGATGATTGACGAATTAGCCTGATTAATGTATCATATGTCATAAATGAAACACCTACAGATATAGGTCCTTTCATCCAATTCATTGTTACACCTTTATATAGACCAGCTGTTATACCTTCTTCGCGAATTATTTTACGTGCTGTTGCCATTGCACCAAGTGATCTTTCGTTTGGTCGAATAACAGCAGCAGTTTGTAGTCGTCGTCGAACAACATCAAAGGGATACGAAGCAGTTTGACCAATAAGACCAGATATAGCTCCATACAACATTCGTTCTGTTTTATTAATAGGACGATGAGAATTATAATCTTATTGGAAGAAAAAAATTTAAATGAAAACTAAGCGTTTTGGATCTTTTGTATTTTCTTACCCAAGCGAATATGTTTGAGGGATTCATAAGTAAAAAAGACACAACCGGAATAAGGTAATACACCAACCATTGATGCTAGTGCGCCTCGATACAAGGCTACAACACCTTCGGTTCGTACAACAGTTAGGAAGACAGAAAATAAATTAGTATATCTAAATAAGAGCAAAAGCATCATTTATTACAAAAAGACTGCTTATATTAGATTTATTATTAAGTCTGATCCTATATAAAATTTTAGCTCATTATGTATCCTGAAAATAATCTAACTTTGCCATACATTTAATTATTCTTAGTTTAGATGATAAAAGTTGTTTCTAAATCAATGGGTACTTATTCAAATTCAAAAAATATGTTTATTATTGAGCATAAGTTAGATGTATAACAAAACAACTGATTTTAGCCTGAAACATCTGATATTTTCCGATGATGGAAACAGAAATATGACGCTTGATTTTTCTATTTTCTGTCGTTTATCATACTATTAGTTAAAAATGAATTAATTTATATTAAATTTACTGAACTAATAAAAAAAGGATGAAGCTCTATAACAATGGTCTCTATTAAATGGTCAAACATGAATAAAAGACAGTAGCCAAATTGTCGTGTTGATTACGAATAAGTAAATACAATTGACTGACTAACAAGCTTATTCAAAATGCATGTAAGAAAATTGATCGATCCGGATAACAGTCAATAAATTTACAGTAATATAAAACGAATTCTTTTTTTAAAGGCATCAACACAAATGAATAAGCTAAACCGAGATTTAAAAAACAAAAGACATAAGTCATTATTCGTAAACTGATAATCATGATAGATAAGCACATGTTACTCTGATAGACCTAAGATATGAACTAGAATTTGTTTTCAAAATTAATTCTGGTGGGAAACTTGAACCAAGTAAAAAAAACACCGATTATAAGTATAGTATACGTCTACATTCTTAGATTACGTAGTCACAGTCAATATCTCATATAAAAAAGACTATGAAAAAGTTTATTATTAGATGCTAAGGTTTGCTTAAAATAGCTGATTAAGTAGGAATGAGTGAACTTTTTTTTAGACGTTATTTCTATAGAGCATTACCTTTCCATTATAGGAAAAAATCTGAAATAAATTTTAATAGTTACAATTAAATCAATGATACTAATAGTTTGACCCATCAAGAAAGGCTCTTTTAGTATTTTGCATCTTTCTCAGCAGCCTTTTGACATAACGGGATGATTTCTTTTTTGAAAGATTCTTTGTTTGATTCTCTACAAATTTGCATTCTCAAAGCTCTTTTTTTCATTGGACTTTGTAAATAACTTTATTAACATTTCTCTTAATTGTAGAACATTTCAATCAATTATCAGTCTCAAAGTAACTCTTACCGAATTTTTAGAGAGAGAGAAGACTTAACTATTATTGTTAATCAATAAGATTGAAATTGGCATAATTCTGTTTTAACTTTGTATATATGACTACTTAACTCTCTTGCCCTTTTGATACTATAGAAGAGACTGTTACTTTTTTGAAAAACTAACTATAAGGATGTTTCCTCTAGATGTAGAAGATCGTCAATGTTCCTTTATGAACAATCACAAGTGAAATCATACCCAAGATGATCACATACAAAACCTTTCAAATAAATTATACCAATATGTATCTTATGAATTAATAATAATAGTTAAATCTTCAGTCCTTTCAAAAACTTCATTAGAGTTAGTTTCGGAGTGATGATTGATTGAAGTCTTGTATGATTAAGAGAAAGGTTGAAAATATAACTAGCAAAGCCCGATGCAAAACGTTTGATAAAAAACAAGATTGTTGACAGTGATATATTCTAATTCTATTCGTTCCATTGGTTCTGAATAAATAAAGTACGCTATTTCACTCAAGTGAATGATTCATATTTGTAGAGAACTGTATGAAGAATCTATCAAGAACAAGTGTTCCGTTATGATGAAAGAGTGCTAAAAAATACGCAAAAAAATATTGAGAGATGCATTCATTATAGACCATTCATTACATATTCGAATTCCTTGTTTGCAAAAGTAAATGAGCTAAAGAAATAATATTAATATTCGATGTTGCTGTCTGTCTCTTAAATGTAATAATATCTAGGAAAATAGTAGATGTTCACTTTTGTTTCATATAGTGTTACTCATGATTTTTAAATTGATACTTTTTAAGGTTTGTATTCAGTTGAAAGATTTGATCAAAGGTCTTTTGGTTCTCTCACTATAAATTTCTCAATTATTATTCATCTAAGAACATAGCTAGACAAAAAAAAAAAGAAATCTAACATTTCATTAATGGAACTCGCAAATAAAATTTTGAAAAGAACATACACAGTTTTGTTAGTTACTGCCATTCGAGCTCGTGCTAAATCAAGTGGATAAGTAATAGTGGATGCTGTAAGACCAGCTAAAGAACCAGCAATAAATCGACGACCAGGTGTTTTGCTTTAAATAAATATTAATCTATTTGATAAACGATATTATAGATTTTTGATAGATATCTTACTCATATTTATCTGTAGCAAGAAGACGTTTCCATTGTTCATGAGCTGTGAAATAAATGGCTGCTGCAGGTATAACACGAGCTAAATTAGCTGAATTTCCTCGATATAAACTAATAAAACCTTCATTTCGATATGTATCTCGTATAAATTTAAAACAAAGACTATAACTAAATTTATCGGGTCTAACTAAAAGAAAAATTAGTTTAGCATAGTTTTCGTTTTTTTTAACAAGTTTTTATTAACCTTGAAAATTAATTTTCGCACGATCAAATGGCGCAATTGTTGTTTTAGCTGCAGCACCTAACAAATAAAACCAAGTTAATAATCAAATTAAAATTTTATATTCTTATTTATTTTACCTGCACAACCACCGGCAACTAATGAAGTTAGAACTTTTTGGGTATTGGAAAGCTGAATTAGAAAAAAGAATGCAAAATAATTTAAAAGCGAGGTCTTGATATTATGTTTTTTTTTCTTCATACGGATGTGGTTTCGTTTTTATCCTTGTTCATCTGTATAGAAACTATTCTTCATGTTTTAAAATGTTAGACATTAGTTAGGAATTTTCATTTAGTAAACTACAAGAAAAGTCCAACTATTTTAATTATCTAGAAAGTAAAAGAATCAAATAGAGTTAGCAGATATTTGTACATTAAGGAAACAAAAACAAAAATTCGCAAATCTATTTGATTTATTATTTAAACTAAAAAGACATTTAAATGAATACTAAGTTGATTTATTGATATTTTATGTACAACCAATTACAAGCATTTTCGTCCGTTCTATCCGCGTCATTGATCCATTATCAAAGGCCATTTTGTGACTAGAAGTAAAAGATATAATCGTAAATTAAGAGACGTGTATATAGATACTTGTAATAGTCGTAAAGATCAAGACATACAACGAAAAGATGATGGAAAAGAGACAACGTACTTATACAAACGATTCACAACTACCAACTCCACAGGAAGCTGCAGCTGGTCTTGATCCATTAGTTCAACCGATTAATGATCAAGTTGGTGCACCAGTGTATCTTCGTCGACAATCATCGGTTTTCTTTGTCCCTATTAGCATAGTAAATCAAAATGAGGAACAACCGGTTGATGAAAAGAAATCAAAACCTATTAAAAAATGTTTAACTTATATGGAACGTTTTTCAGGTATTTTATATTCTTTATTTGCATCATTATTATTTACATGTTCGAATTTTGCATTAAAACAATTGAATATTGTTATACTTGATGTTTTTGTTATTCGAATATTTGTTCAAACATTTTTATCACTTGGATTTATTGCTTACAAAGGTTATCATCCAATTCATGATTGTCATGGATTATTAGTATTGATTCGTTCTTTTTTTGCTGCTGCCGGTAGTATCTGTTTTTTTCTTAGTTTGTCTATTCTTCCTCTACCAGATTTAACAACAATTCGATATACACAAGTTGTTTGGACAGCACTTCTTGCTTCATTTATATTTTATGAACGTATTAACTTACCAACTATTATAGCATGTATATTAACACTTATTGGTGTCGTATGTGTAGCTCAACCAACATTTCTTTTTCCACAATCAAGAATACAAAATGAAACATTACAAAACATATCAACACTTAATAATAATAATAATCATAGTAATCATTTATTTGGTATGCTACTTGCACTTGCATGTGCAATTTCAATTTCTATCAGTATTGTTTTAAACAAAAAATTAATTCAAAAAAATATTCGACAAAGTATAATAATGTTTTATTTTTTATTAACGACACTTTTTGCATCTATTACAATTCAAATTTATTATTGGAATTTTTCGAAATCCAATCATTTAAAATTTAACTTTAAAACAGTTTTTCTAAAAAAAAATTTTATATTTGCATCAATTATTGCTATATTACAATTATTTCCAATGATATTATCACAAAAATCAATTAAACGTGAACATCCATCAATTGTTACAGTTGTACAATCATCTGATATACTTTTTGCACTTATACTTCAAAATATATTTTCATCAATTAAAACTAATTTTCTCGAATTAATTGGATCAATACTTGTTCTTACTAGTATTTTCATTGTTGGTGGTCATAAACTTTGGTTAGATCGACAACATCGTACTTATATACCTACATCAACACAAGAAAATGCACTTAAAGTTGAAACAAAAAACTAATAAATAATCTTTCTTTATGATTCGAGCTGACAAAACTTAAATAAAATTCATATCGAAAAATACGGATAACTGTGCTGTCGACGCTCATAAAAAGTGCATGCGCTGACAACATGACTATTTCTATAGCTCAACAAATACCGAGAGGGCAAAAATATTGAAGAATAGAAGAAAAAAGAAAGTACATAAATTGGTCTGGCAGCAGATGCCAGTTTTCTTTTGCATCTAATGTTCGCAGAAAAAAAGAACGAGAGGAAAAAAAAACCTCGTAAGAGTATTATGATAGAGGAAAAGCAGTAATCAACAGAGAGAATTTACTAGATTATGAAACAAGACGTGTATGTCCATGATGATAATGCGCCGGTTGATCCTACACTAACAAGCATAGATGTTTCAACCGATGAAAATATTATTCAAAATATTGATCCATTAATTGAACCATTAATCGATACAGATGAATTAGAAGTAAATGAAAATGATGATGAAAAATTTACTAAACTAGAAAGACAATGTTCATCAATTTTAAGTATTCATTCGCATCGACCGAATGAAATAGATTCATGCTCTCAAATAATTCGTCGATGTAAAGGAATATTATATGCACTTCTTGGTTCATCACTTTTTACATGTTCTGGTTTTATTATAAAACAATTACGTGTTGATTTTTTTGATGCATTACTCTGTCGATTTATAGTACAAACATTTATTCTTACTATATTTATCATTTACAAACGATATAAAATAATAAATGGTTCATGTAATTTAATTCTTCTACAAATCATTCGTACAATTTTAGCTTCAAGTGGTTTATTTCTCTTTTACTTAAGTTATCGTTATATTCCATTACCGGATTTAACAACATTTCGATATACACAAGTTATTTGGACAGCAATACTAGCTATGATTATTTTACATGAACGTATATCAATACCAACTGTATTAGCTATTATATTAACATTAATCGGTGTCGTATGCGTTGCACAACCAACATTTTTATTTGGTAATTATCAACAATTATCTGGTATAAATGAAACTATAAATAAACATATCGATGATATTGATTTGGAATCTAATAAATCTTATCGATTTCTAGGACTCTGTCTTGCACTTGCTTGTGCATTAGCAATATCTAGTAGTATTGTACTGAATAAAAAATTATTAGTATTAAAATTTCCTCAAAGTATACTTATGTTTCAATTTTCATTTTTAAATTTATTTATACTAATTATTAATCAAATACGTAATCGTTTTATTCTTCATATGTATTCAAATCATTCAATGTTTACATGGCAATTTTTTCTAGCTGCATTCGTTTCATTAATACAATTATTTTCTTCAACAGTCACACAAAAAGCAATTAAACTCGAACATCCATCAATTATTTCTGTTACACAATCATCCGATATATTATTTGCTATTATACTTCAAAATTTATTTGCTAATGAAAAATCGAATTGGCTCGTCATACTTGGTGCAATATTAGTTACAACAAGTATTTTTCTTGTAGGAATTCATAAATTTTGGACTGATCGAAACAAATTATTACGTGAAATGAATATTTCAAAAGTATAAAACGAGAAATTTTCTTAATTATGTCAATTTAGCTGATCTACCTGTTATCAAAATTTATTTGTTAGATAATCTGGCCGTTTGAATGTTAATTTTGATTCTCTTCTAAATACAAACAAATCTTTTTCAATAATATTTATTAGAAAAGTTTTTGGAAAAAAACAAGATGTTCAAGCTGATTTCAAAGGCATAGAATGTCAGATTAACTTGAATGTTTAAATTAGAAAATCATGCCAACTATATGGCTCATCATTCATACCTTAAGATGAACTACTCTGTTTTCTGAGAAACAATTTACAATATTTTTCATTAAATATACAACGAATACATACTTCAAATATATATTCAAAACATACCAATTTTTTAATTGTATGAAACAAGAATCTTATTATGTTCAAGATTCATTTAATTGGTTGAAATTGATACGAACATATAACCATAACCATTTGATAAGATCATATTACATAAAAATCTAAAATACATCAGATGCAAATGATCGATACATAATAGAAATCGTTGCGATTTCGATCACTAATATATTTAAATAAACAAACAATCATGAACACTAAACTATCAAAATTTATTATAATAAAAGATATGACTAAACAGAAAAATTATCTTGACATATTAGAAAAGAAAAGACTTCAAAAACATGCTGACAGAAAAAACACTAGATCAGATAAATGACATGAGCATTGAAATAAAAACAAACAAAAGAAAACATATCTAACTATAAGCGGCAGTAAGTCGTTGGAAAAGAGTTTCCTGTTGAAGTGGATCATTATTATTAGACAATGTTGTTGTTGTTAATCGCATAGCCAAAAAAATGTATGCACCAATAAATTCATGTATACATTTACTTTCAATACCATACAATGGTAAAAAATGTATTGTTTCACCATCAAATTCAATTGTTACTAATTTATTTTCCCAATTAACATTCCATGAACGCATTCGAGATATCCACCATATTTTTAAAGTATCACCTGTTAATGTCATACGTAAAAGACGATTTGAAGCAATACCAAGTAATTCCTATATATGAAGAAAACAATATATAAAGAAAAAGAATTTTTTTTCTACTTCTTTTTTATTTGAATCTTTAAATTTAACAATAAATGTTGTTATACCAAATTCAGGTAAAGCTTGCCATGCTTTTAAATAACGTAATTTAGCTTCTGTGCCATCTAAATTACTAACAGCTGCATGAGCTTCAAGAATTCGTTCAGTTAACTAAAATAGAAAATGTCATTTTTTCTTTGTATGTTACAATCATCTTCATTTAGACAAAAAAAATTCAATCAATGTGCAACACTGTCTTGAAATAGTTCAATGTTAAGAAGAATATTCCTATGTGTCAGCTAGTCTGCAGCTATGATCAGCTGTAGTTCTAGACAGAAGATTGACATTACGCAGAATTCTTGAACTTTTTAATACATATTAGCTAACCACAAGAGCAAGTAAATGTTTCAAGGTAGTCAGCATGCTATTAGACGGGTGATCTAAGACAAATAGTCGTTTTACACTTGTTCAGGTTCATGCCATGACTGGTAGTGCTGAGGCTTGCACATAATACCTTGTGATTACGTGTCGAATAACGTAGCCATCCAACCATGGCAGCACAGGTCAATACTAACAATGGCACTTTTCGTACCATCAATTAAAAAGATATACTTTGCTGTTCGCATCAAATGATCACTCTCATCTTCAATCTAATGAATTAAAATATAAGCTGCTCATGGCAAAGTTATTCTCATTCATTTTTGTATACAATTATCAAATTTTTTAAGAGATGAATTTCGAGAACCTTACAAACAATTATTCACCATGAATAGAATAGACTTTATTATGAGTAACTAACATTTTGAAGTCGTTCATTTGACAGTGACTTACATTACGATAATTTTCAGATTTTACAATAAGTCAAATAGATTAATATATATATATTCATCAGCAAAGCTTTATAGAAAAAAAAACTGATTTGTTTTTTTTAATCTTTCAAAATACTGATTTGATTATTCTTCAACTGAGACGTAACTTTATTCAGATAAATTCTTATAAAATTTTTCTTTCTGATTATAAATAATTCGAGATTGTTTCGTTTCATAACAAAGTATCTTCAAGTGTTAGATTGGATAATTGTTATCAATATAATCATATGTCTCTTACAGAAACAAAGAATAACTATCGCACTTCAATATGTACACTATGTACGATGAAATAAGCAGAAATTGATTGTATGCATTCATATCAGTTAGTATCCAAAATAGCATCTATCAACATTGAAGTTATCAAGAGCATAGCAATGTTGTCAATAACATCAGACAAATACACTAAGAGAGTATTTTAATAAATATTCATATACTTGATTTGTATGCGCATGTGTTTGTGTGCATGTCTTGTTTTTTCCTTTTTCTTCTTGTTCTCACTGTCTTTTCCGATAGATTATCTATTTCATTGCAGTTGTCTGACGTCGTGACCTACGTCATTGCCATTCTTCGTGCTTGAGAAGGATCAAAAATTCTCACATTTTTTTGCTTTCTTCTATTCTTATTAATTATTGCGCAGTTAGAAAAAACGATGTATGACGTCAAATACTTTGTTTTGCATTGCCCTTATTTCAAATAAGGTGAGGTTTACTCAAATTACCTCTCATATGATCTTTTCATGCTTTATCTATTTCTTTCTATGTGTTTGTTTTTTGTCTGTATACACATATATGTTTTAATGAAGAATAAAAAGAACCGTTTTTTTTCTAATTAATGAATTAAATTAATTCCAAAAAATAAAGCCTTATTAATCTGATTATATTGCTACAAATAAAAAACGCTGTAACATTCATTTTCACGTATTTACAAGGAATATAATCTGTATATGATTTAAGGAACAATTGAAAAAGCATTCGATAGGTTTTTTTTGTTGAAACACGATTTAAAATGACTGTTGAAATACAAGAGTAGAATTTTTAGTCATCCTCCTTTCGATAGATCGTGAAAAACTTAGTCAAGGAAATGAAGGCTTCTATATGATTATGGTAAAAGAAGATTGATCTTTTAAGATATTTGTCTCAAGTCTTTATTCCATATTGAAGCATATCGATTAACAATATATGCAGATTAATCTGGTTTCACATTTTAATCTCACAAGACTTGTGCTCTAACAGCTTTTTACTATAAATATGACTTAATTATCATTAAAAATTATATTATTAATAAAATAATCATGTATGCATCGTATCTGACATGATTAGAAAGATCTTTTAACATATCATGCCTTCGAAATGCATTATTCTATATGGAAATGCCTTTAGCGATGATTCATAGATATAAAATCGAATCAATCACTCTAAATATTTCCAAAAATATAAGTATTTTCTTTTTTTTTTTGACATTTAATTATTTATGAAAAATTCAAACTAACCTGTTTTATTTTATATTTTTTAACAAATTTAGCTGATACAAAATTTTCTGGTTGAATATCAAATTTATTTTGTTGATGATTTGATGATGATGATGGTCGTTGCATATTAAGTAAGGCTAAAATTGATTCACGTTCAGTGTCATAAGATGATTCACTAATTGAGCGACCTTTTGATGCAAGACGAAAAGCAGCCATCCATTTCGCATATTGTTCATCCTTAAAAATATCATTATAGTTCGTTTTAAATAACAAGCAAAAATATGACATACTGTTGAACAACGAATTAATATTTCATTCATACCATCAATAGATGGTATCATTAAACGAATAGCATATTTTTTAGATGATATATTCACATCAGGTAAAACTTCACAACCTTTAAGTGAAATTTTTTCAATAGGTGTACTACGTTGTTGAGATTCATTTGTATAATAAGTTAGTTGAGTATCTCGCATAACAAACCAATAACGTTTAAATGTTTTAAATGCAAATCTTCGTGATTTATAAAGACGTAAATAATCACATAATTCTTCATTTGATGAAAATTTTTGTATTAGAGTATTTGTTGATTGATTTGTATTTGTTGTTGTTGTTGTTCCTAATAGAGAATCTTGTAAACGTTCAAGTGCTCGATCAATATCATCGTCATTTGTATTATCATATTCATGACCAATATCATTATTGGGAGATGTAACTGCTGATGTTGATGAGGATTGATACGATTGAATTTGAATTTGTAGCTAAGAAAAATTACTTTATAGATTTATTTCATATATTTGTTTTTGTCTTACATGAAACATATGACTTATCTAACATGTTATAAGTCTAAATATGGTTTTTCAAAAATTCGTCGAAAAAAAAACGAATGTGAATACCTTAAAAGTTATCTGTAAGATTTCTACAATCTTGTTCTACGTTTTAAAGTTTTATCTTGTATAATTTCATTTCTATGGATTGTTCTAAATGAACATATATGACTGTAAAATACCAGGCCACTGTTTTTGCAAATATTTGAAAAACATATTCAATACAACTTTATACGAAGTTATGTTTCTGTCGTTGTTAATGATTTTTATTGCTATTTCAATGTGATCTTTCCTAGACATCGTCTTTCATATATCCCAATACGAAAACTTTTAACTTTGTTGAAGAATTATTCACTGAGTTTTCTCATAATTCGATAGGCTACTAAAACAAACTTTGTAAATATTTAGAACATTTGATGCTGATACACCTTCATTAACAACATGAGCTTCATTGACTTTTCTTGCACTATTACTGTAAGACGTTCAGATAGTATCCTGTCTGTTAAAATATTACTTTGATAGAACTCATTAGTATCATCTTTATGGCGACATTTCTTTATCGCAAAGTTGTTTTATATGATATTTATTGAATAAAACTTTGATGAATTTGAAAATAGAACGAGGAAAGAAACATGTATGTCGATCTAACTACTCAAGCCTTATTTAAGTCCGTTTTTCCAGCCAAGTTTCCCAACAATTCGTATTACTTGAAAAAAAAACTTTAGTATTTGACATCGTATTATTAAGTTTCAAAACTCTAAAAATGTTTTATTTAGCATGATTATTTTCTTTCTAAAGTAATAATGACGAAAATAAAAAGTTTGAGAGAATAGCAATCATTTTAGCTCGAACCTAAAGACAATCTTAAAACTATTTAGTTTTCATATAAGTTCATTATAACCCAAGCATACAAGAATTTTCGACAACGTATTTAGACGCTCACTCAGAAAACGTCAAAACCAGCTACCTTCATCCTAAAAAATGCATCTTTCAAAAGCACATTTTACATCAAGAAAACATGCAAATATTTTTCTCGTCATATTTGACAAGTATTGCAAATTAAAATAACTTTTCTATTAAGCATTGCGTATATTAATAATATTGTAAGAGATTTTTTTTTTACGCTTGTCAGATGCACAAATTGCTTTTTTTATGCATTCTCATGCATCTTTTATGATGAAAGTAGCTGGATTTGACATTTTCTAAATGGATATTTAAAACGCATTTTTGAGAAATTCTTCTCTATTTTGTAACAGTCACAGGACATTCTCTCAAGTGTAATCTTTTTCTTTGCTTTTATTAACTTGTTGTCTGCCAGACAATAGAACAATTAACAAAAATTACGTTAGAAGAAAATCCGAATCTAAAAAAAAACATCTATTAGCGCATGTCCTGTGAGATTAAGATGTTAAGAATGCTGGTGCTAATTATAGGAGAATTGTTTTATTCTATCTATTTTGAGAAACATATTTCTTTACTATCGGTGAACTGAACCCTCCGGAAATTCAATAAGAAGATTGTTTCATATATATATATATATATTATAACAAAATGTTAGTGATGTACGGTCTATGATTGAATATAAACAACTTTTGTGACGTTTCCATAGTAACGCCAACCATGGTCTGAGAGAGAATGAGGAGTCTCAATTTTCATCCATGCTCTTTTATGCTCGTATTTAGTAAAATCAAGACTTCGAAATGATTTGAGAATATGTGAAATTAATGTCTACTAAATATCTATTACATATATTCTCGTAACTTTTTTTTGTCATTTAAACATTTAGATTTACTTGTAAAGCAGCAAAAGTCATCATTTCTTCTTCTGTACAATCAATATCTTCACTTAAAATAGACCATTTAGCTTGTTCATATAATTGATTTAATCTTATAGCATCAAACTAAATTTACAAAAATAACTAAAATATTTCAAAACAAAAAGAACAATTTTTTTTTTACTTTTGGATTCAGATCATAGAATGTAAAATATTTAAAACGTAATAAAATAAGATCATTTTCATTTGTATTTTGTTCCATAAGTGATTTCGATGAATCATACCATAGACTATTTAATTTTGATTTTTCAATTATATTCATTGGTTTAGTTAATTGTGATAAAATATTTTTTATTGGTGTTATTGGTGTTCGAGCAAGATTTCCATCAACATTTGTAACTAAACTATTAAGTGATTTTGAAAGATTTGATATTGGACGTTGACGACGCATTGATGAATCCTTTCAAAACAAACAATATATACATATATGATTAAGTTATCTATTGAAATCATTCTAAATATTTACTACTGTATCATTTATTATTGTTGATCGAAGTTTAGGTGTTGTTGGAGAAAATAATGTTGATATTGTTGATGTATTATTTGCTAATGAATCACCCATAGAATTATGTCGATTAAGTGTACCAATATTATGACGTCGACGACGAGGTGATGTACGACGTTCATGTGATCCATTTGGATTTGTTACTTTTGGTAAACGTAAAAGTGAAAGTTCTTCAGCATGACGAATTCCTAATTGAAAAGAACCAAAAAAAAACACATTTTCTATTGAATATACGAATAAAATAATAAATTTCTATTTTGTACCAAGATCTTTACAAAGTTTACAAACAGCAGCAAAAACTGTAACGGAAAAATCTGCATTTATTGATAAAACACGAAAATCAGGTAATTGTAAACGAATAGATTTATGCATGCTAGTAAAAGTAAGTTGAGCATCTGATTGAATACCATATTGATCAAGTGTCCATTTTGTATTTAATAACCAGATATTTGCCTTTGGCCACCAAAGTGCATAATCAGAAAAATCTTGAGATACATCTATTTATATATTAAATAATGATATAATGGGTAGAAAATTAAAAGTAGGATAAAAACGAACCGAGACAATTTACAAGTTGAACCATAACAGAACCAATAGTCATTGAACCTGTGACAACAACAATTGTTGAATCGATTATTAAATTCCATGACAATGGTTTAGGTATTGATGGTTGATTTACTGAAATAGGCATGATTTTCAATCACTGCCTATCTAACTAACCTAGGTTAGACAGTAATTAAAAAAAACGTTGGTGGTTATGTCTATCGATTCTTATTAACCAATCAATGATCTTTTATTCATTTTTGGATTTTTTTTGCCTCCTACCAATATTTCATTAATCTTTTTTTTATGAAAATTTCTTCAAAACAATGAAATAAACGTAATTAAAATAAAATAAATCATGATCGAATTAATTTCAATGTATAATTGCGTAAATAAATTATCTATGGTCCTTTAGCCTCAATTACCTAAAAACGAACGAACTAGTTTCTTTTTCTTTTTCTTTGTCTTCTCTATCTTTTCTTTCTATCAGTCAGTTACTTTATTTAACTTACTATTAATTTCAGATTTAAATCGACCATCTATTTTTCTTACATTAATTATGAGCGATTTTAAAACAATTGGCAAGGCATTTATTGATTTTTATTATAACAAATTTGATACAGGTCCACGTGATGGTGTAGCAGCTCTTTATGTAAATATATACATATATGAAAAAAAAATTCCTTTTTTTTTAATGACTTTGTATTATTCATCAACATTTTTTTCTTTTTAAAGGAACCTGTTAATGGTATGATGAATTTCAATAATTCTGATTTTGCTAAAGGTGCTCAACAAATAGCTGAGAAATTACGTTCATTAACATTTCAAACAATAAGTCACACAGTATCAACTATGGATATTCAACCAACATATGATAATTGTATTTTAATTGTTGTTACTGGTGCTCTTAAAGTAAATGATAATATAGAATTTAATATATATTTAAATGAAATCATATTTATTTAGGCCGATAATGATCCACCAATGCAATTTACAGAAACGTTTTTATTACGTTGTATTAATAATTCATGGTTGGTCATTAACAATGTTTTTCGACTTATTCTTCATGGTTGAACACAAAATAAAGTCTTTATTTTAGTATAATTATTATTAACTCTTCAGAAAAAAAAGACATTTAAAATAAAACTATGCTTTAACAAACAGTCAATTTGCTTATATAAAGTTGAAAAAAAAACCTTAATTTCGTCTTGTCCTTTTTATAAGTTACAAACAGAGAATAAAATTAATCTACTTTCATTTTTTTTTCTTTATTACTATTTACGTTAACATTTCTTTCATCTATTATTGTTTTTTTTATTGTCATCTTGATGTCATGTATGATTACACACGCAAATTCTTATGCTGATTCATCTATGAAAGATTTTATTTGATGATAAGAGTTTGAAGTCAATAAGTGTGTTTTAATTATCGGTGCTGTGCCATGAATTCAACAAGTCTCCAACTAACAAGGAAATCTTTTTGAATGTTCTCTTCTGATATCAATAAATTTTTGTTGTCTTTAGATATTACATAATATCCTAGTGATAACTTGGAAAGAATTTGAGACTAATTGGAACTAATAAATTTTTAACATGACTATTTATCGTAGAATCTTAGATTTTCAGACAACTCGTTTTTTGTGAATTTCATCTTGAAATTATCTCCATTTGAATATTTTATATACGGCTATTGAGACAATGGCCATAGCTACACTTTTTTTTTTTGAAAAAAAAGAGTCGGCGAACATTTTTTGAATAAGTTTTGATAAGAACAAGATAGTGCGCTGTGATTTTATTTATTGACAAGAAGAGACGAAATCGTATGAAACCATATATTAAAGATTCTTCTAAGATATTTTCTGAAGTCTTTCAAATCAAATTTTAAAAAAAAGTGTCAGAAAAATGGTTCTTTTTAAACATAAGAAAAAGAGAAAAAAGGTGATTTTTGTTCATTGCTATTGCTTGAATAGTAGATCGAGACTTTTGATTATAATATCTTTGACTCCAGAATAACCACATCTAAAAATCTAAGGCTGGCGTTATTATAGAAGTCTTCCATTGACATTTTCAATGGACACCTGATATTTGAAAATTTACTTTAGTCATCTCACAAAATACATTGGTTTTCATCAAAGACGATTAAAAATCTTAAAAAACAGGTCAAAAAAACTGGTAATATTCAATCGAATACGACTTTATATCTCTCTTTCTAAAGGAAAAAATAGCAACTATCTATCTGGTTTCCATCAAAGGTTATTACTAAACTGCCACTCGTCTTTTTCTTTTGAAACGTGTATCAAATACTCCAAACGTTATATCTTGACAGTTTTTTGGAAAATAACCTATTGCGCGAAAGTCTTGGCACAAAATGTTTGTTCACTTTTTTGCCATCTAGACGTCATCCTAGAGAATGAAAGATAGTCAGTTAGAATCAGAATTTGATACTCTTTCTAAATGTATATTCAGAATTAAATTTTTGAGTTAAGTCTGTTAACTAGAAGCAAATACTTGCATGGGCTCAAAATGGACGTCTGTACAAATATTAAGTTGAAACGTCTTCGTACAAACGTTTACTCATTTTCAGATACTTAAGTGTCATTGAAGGATAGCAAAAGTATCCAGTTAAAGTCAAAATTTTATGCTCTTTCCAGATATATGAGCAAATGACTGAGTAAACCAAAACTGGCGTTAACATCAAATAAAGAAGTGTTTTCTTGTGATTCAAGATTTCTCAGAGTGACATTGTGGACCAGTCTTGGTCTGTATACTATCGTGGATCATTTAGCTTTCTACGACAGCGTGAGTTATAATAAACTAGAACTAAAAATAAACAAAAACTACAGAAATTTTCGAAGAGCTGTTCTCTATGTAAGATGACACTTTGTCAAATATCGTTTTTGTCTCAACTTTGTCTTTCTCCAATGCAACAGATACTGAGCCATTACTGCCATATGTCAAAACAGAAATAAACAGTTCATTTTGTAGAGCGGAGTTCACTCTACAAAGTGGTATATAAGAAGATTTTTGTATAGTTTGACCTTGGACGATTTTAATTAAAATATGAAAATAGGTAACATACAAAAATTCTGTACAGACGTCCATTTTGAGTCTATGCAAGTATTTGCTTCTAGTTAACAGACTTAACTTAAAAATTAATTCTGAATATACATTTAGAAAGAGTATCAAATTCTGATTCTAACTGACAATCTCTCATTCTCTACGATGACGTCTCGGTGACAAAAATTGAACAAACACTTTGTGTCAAGACTTTTGTGCAATAGGTTCAGTACAATTGCCAATAGCTATCTACTCCTCAAAACAGTTTTATTGGTAAATTGCGCACAAATAAAAAGATTCCTGGCTATGATATTAGTTATATGAAAATATTCAGTCTTTTTAACTTTCATATCTCCAAGCTATGAGTTTTTCTAAGTGTAGCGAAGGATAGAAGAATATTTTCGTCTGTCGAAGTGACCAAATCTACAAACTTTGAAACATCGTCATACAAATTACTGTATGTGAAAAATTCAAATAGAATTAGTTTTAAGAAAAAATTGAACAGCTCAATTAAATCTCAATAGGAATTAAAATCCTTTTCGAGTTTAGATATTGTTATTAAACATACCAATGTTAGTTTTTGCTATTTATGGCATCAAACGTTTGTGACAATTGCTGATGCTGTATAAATTGAAAAAATATTCAATTTTTTATCTATCATTAAATTATTGTTGGTATTACAATAATCTTATTGATTCTGATGGATTCCATTTAATATTAGACCGATTTGTCGTCAACTATGGCTGTACTAATTCAACTAATAAGAATTTTTGCACGAGGAAAAACTAACAAAGAGATATAAAGTCACATGAGAATTCAATTAGTCTTTTAATAATCATTTCTAGTTTTATTGTATAGAACATTTCCAGGATTAGTCTAGTATAAGTCACATCCTTGATATCGTTGTCCGGTTGAATCAATCCTTTTATGTTTAGCCTAGAGAATCCCACTGAGATGATATGCTTAGCGTTATCATTCACTCATCCTTTTTCTTCTAATTCATTGTGTTGTACTTCAGTAATTTTCTTTCTATCGTGGGAAAGAAAGAGAAGGGGACAGTACGATTTTAAAAATATATACAAATTTCGTGCCTTTACAGTTTATGTCTTTTTGATTTGAAATTAAGATTATTTAACGTACTTAGATCTATTATTTCATCAACCTTTCTATAAAGCCCTATATTTTATTTGCGTTGTTTATATTGAAATTTATTATAAAATATGTTAATTTAAAAGTTATTTATTTTCCTAAAATTGTATTTATTCATAATCATTCTTTGAATTCCTGGAACATGACATAATTGCAAAATAATCATCTAAAAAGTTTCAAAACAACATACTGTCATTGATTCTATGTATTCATTCTTCATTTTTTTAAAAATACAGTCGTTTGTTATCTCAATCGAAAAAAATGCTATGACAAGAAAAAGCCATAAATAAAAATCAATGAAAAAAAATAACAAGACTTAACTGCAACTTTTTTGCATTACAAATATTGTTACGAAACAAAGCATACAGTCTAAAAATAACAAGATTTTATTCATTAATGGCATAAAAAGAAAAACAAATTTGTGCATCATCTTAAATTAATGTTTCATTAAACAGATAATGTTCAATTGATTATTCGTTTACCGAATACAGTTCTCAATGACAAATTGTAACAATATGAGAACATCAAATAGAGAAAAAACGCTCGATGGAAAAAAAATAAGCAGACAATGTTCAAAAATTATTTATTCACAATAAACAACATATTTTTGTACGTTTTTCTTTTGTTTGATGTATTGTTGGTGTTGGATGTGGACTAATAACAACAACAGCTGGATCTTCACTACCGACAACCAAACCAGCTGTACTTCCATGAGATGTTTGAATATGATATGCTTTACCTTGGGCTAAATTGCTCATTGATGGACCAACAATACTAATACCAACAGCAGAAGCACTATTCTTTTTATTTTGACCACGCTGTTTTTTCTTGAAAAATTCTTTACTTTGCGATTTACTCATTGGATCTGGCTATAAAAGAAAAGAAAAATTTAACAATCAAACATTTTCATTTCCTTAAAGTTAATCACACTAAATTCAACAAGTAAAGAAAAAAGACCTAAACAATATCGCTTTTTCTATCTAGATTATTTGATGATGTCACTGATACGGTTAAAGTTTGAAACGGAAATTCAAAACAAGATAAACTATGTCGTTTAGCCACACAAACTTGATGATGATGATGATGATGATGACGATAATTATGATTATGATTGTTATTATTAGTAGTAGTAGTTGTAGTAGTTTTAAATAAGGGTTCTTGTCCTATATTAGGAATCACGGTTGAACGGCATGGTGAACTTGAAGAAGAGCGCATATGGCGCGGTCTAGTATAAGTACATTGCGGATGAAATGATGCTTCAAATAAAGATTTCTGTAGTTGTAATGGATGCAAAGATGATTTATTTGTTCCACAAATATTTGGTGAGTCTTGTAATTTAATATTTCCATGTTGTTCTTGTTGTGGGTGATGGTGATGATGATAATGGTGATGCTGAGGATTCGAATAAACTATATGTAAAACAATAGGACCACCAGTTGAACCACTTATATCACTTTGACGTCGTGATTCAATTGATGACCAATTAAAAAAACGTCTTCGAAAAATAAGATATAAAAAGTCATTGAAGAATTTTTTAAATTCCCGACGAAATAATTCGCCAGTGAATGTATACAAATAAAATCCACAACCATGATCAAGATACAATAAAAATCTCATTATACCATCTAATAACATTAAATATTGCCGTTCATATCTTAAATATGGTTCAATAACAGAAAAAACTCGTAATGGAAATGTTAATAAGAGAAAAAGTAATGTTGATACAAATAAAATATATGCCAATTGTGTATCACGTGGTGAACGTGTTTGTCTTAAGCCTAATTCTTTCATTAATATGTGAGATTTACATACAGAATACATAACAGTTGCATTAGCTATTAAAATTATTATAAATGGTATTAAAGAATTTGTTATAAAATCCATCCATGATAAATAAAATTTTAAAAAATGATCATATCTGTCACCAGCTAGTCTAACTGAACTTGCACTAGACGTATCTGTTGATTTTTTTTCTACTTCATTATTAGTATATAAATAGGATTTTTCTGGTTCAGGAAGAAAAAATATTAAATAATGTATATTAAGAAAAAATAATACTGTATATATGATAACTAGTATACAATATGAATGTTTACGATTAAAAACATTTTGATTCCAATCAAATCTTCGTGTAACAGCAGCTCGTTCAAGTGATATGATACATAAAATCCATAGAGCACAATGTGAAAAATAATTTGTTGAAAATTTATAAACTCGATATAAATAAATAGAATTTTGAAAAAAATGAGATTTAAATGTATAAAGTATAATAAGATGAATACAATTTATTGTAATTAATAATAAATCCTAAAAGAAAACTATATACGTTTTTTATTTTGAGTTATAGAAAAACAAACGAAAATTAAACAACATTTACCATAACACTTTCTGCAACAAATAATATTGAACAACCAAATTTTTTAAATTTTTTTCTTCGAAATATTAATATTGTTAATAATGAACCAATAAAACCAAATGGAAATAATAACCATGGATAAATAAGATGGAAACGAATAATAAATTTAATCACAGGATGATTGGATATTTCGGGTGATGAGATTTTATAAAGAGAATAGTATTCAAAATTTTCAATATTCATTGTTATGATCTTTATATCTGATTTTATCTACATATAGATGTTTTCTTTGTATCCATACGGACATATCATAAAGATTATATTGAGTTAAGATTCTTTTTATATATCTATTGCCACTTAATGTCTTACTGTCGTTTTTCTCAATGGATTAATAAAGAGATGTTTGTCTTGCTCAATCATATTTTGTTTGGACACAGGTTTTTCTTTGTTTGTTAAAAGATGCGTTTCCTTATGTAGAGTAAAGTAGTATGACTTTATAATGTTGAATTTTGCCTAATTGCTTAATTCTTTTTTCGTTTCCGATGAAACAAAATAGATATGAAGAAATATTTGAGTTAGTATTAGCAAAAGAAAACAAAATGCTGCTTGCAAAATACATGTATATATACAGGAAAAATACCTATGTTGATAATAGATGAAGATTTTTTTTCATAATACAGAAAGATGTTGTTTTTCTTGTCAACCAAAAAACAGATGAATCGGAAAAAAAACACCAAACAAATGCAGATTGGCATCAAGAATAACACGACATTGATGCCATCATGTTCTACTTAATTGCTTAGTAATAATAAATCAACACAAATATATATACGAGTATATGAACACGTCTCTTGTCATCCTACATATATATATCTAAATATAATATAACCTAAGCTATGTTGTCATTGTCAATGGCGTCGTTTGTGTTTCGTTACTATGTTTTTGTCTATAACGCATATACTTTTTTTGTCTTTTCTTAATTAATGGCAATTGTACGACTTATTGTATAGTTTTTCTCTTTTCTTGCTTTATATCAATCGATCAATATAGGACATGATGATAATATCGCCTATGTGCTTGTGTTCTGAGAAAATTTTCTTTCTTTCATCTTGTTTCTTATGGGGATTCGAAATGTTTTTAAACATTGATGTTGAAGAAAATTTTTTCATTTTATTTTTATATGGATTAAAATTTGCTTATGAAATAGTATTTTTCTGTTTGCATAATTGATCAACTGTACTTTTATGAATAGTTTTATGTTTCAAGCAGAGATCATGCTACATTGCACAAAATATAATAATATGATAAGCTAGTGTATGGTACTGATACTTTTTCAAAAGCATTAAAATCGTAAAAGGAAGAGGAATTCAGAAAGTTTTCCGGAAATGGAAATCGAGAAAAGTCATTCCCAGAGGAAGACCTACTATTTGTACAACACATAGAGGCATTCAGAAAACAAGTAAGAAGCTGCATCATTGATATTCGCAATATACAATTGTCAAATATACAGATGAATAGATTTAAATGCAACATTTTTTCCCCGCAATTATTGATAATATCATTCTGAGAAAAGATCGCTTTTAGTTTCATTAGGAAACAAAAAATAATTAAAATTGATACATGAAAAACTTACAAGTATCATATCGCCACCGAGTTGATCAATTTTTGAACTTTCTCGAGAATTAGTCAATATCGTTGAATCTTTTGGATAAAGTAATGGTTTGGGTTTTATCGGTAATATAGTATTGTATCCATCGGAAAACACTTGAAATAACAAATTTTATGAAAATATGTTTTGTTTTTCGATATATAATTAATAACATACTCTCACTATGACGTTGTACCATTCTAGATGCATCACTAAATGGTATATTGAAAAGACTAAGCATAGCAACATATGGTGAATTTTGTAGAATTGCTGCATAACGAGCTACAAGAAACACAAAAAAATAGAAAATAAAGATTTAATTAATGAGACTATTGATTTCTTATACCTCCACTTTGTGAAACAAGTAATTTAACTAGATTTTGATTAAAATGAAATGTAGCTAGATGTATGCCAGTTATCGTAGACCAAGCAGAAAGAAGACCATCTTGAGAAGCTAGATATATAAGAGTAATTATTTGCAAAAAAAAAGTGATTATGTTAATTAAAATATGTTTTTACCAGTAATCGCAATATTGCTATCAGTAGTAAATGAGACGGAAACGATGGCATTTTTATGCCTCGTAAGTTTATGTACAACAGCTCCTAGAATAACATCGATACAAAGTAAAGTTTACTAGAGCAGAAGATAATCAATAATAAAGACACTTTCAAAAACAAAATCTTTAAAAACTTATTCAACATTTTGTTGAAAGTCTTATTTTGGCATTATACTATTCTGTAAACATGGAAATAACTCTCATAACTCTTCGTGATGGAATCTTACTGCATAGCATACAATGATTATACTATGAGTCGCTCTTATTAGTGCAAGAGTACTGTACAAAGCATTATTCGAAGATATTAGTAAAACAAAATTGTTTTTTATTTGAGATGAAACAGCTTTCATAAAATGGTTTTTCTAAATCTTGTTGAATTAAAAACACCATTGATTTAACGAACAAAATTTCTTCGATCTTTCGGAAAAGAATGCAATGATATATTTCAAATGAAGATAAAATGTTAATCTTGAAGACTTCCATATATCTCATTTGAACTGTTAAAAAAATTATTGACATTCTTTTCAACTATTCTATCTTTCTATATACTAAATTTATTTAATCTTTTACCATCTTTAAATGACCAAATAATTGATAGACCACTTTTGTCACCTGTTAAAACATGTTTTCCATCTTCACTTATCGCTACAGCTGTAATAGATTGTTCATGTTCGACAAGAACCTTAAAATATAACATTAAAAATTTTTCATATTTGTTTTCTTGGTTTATTTTTAATACCTGTGTTAATTTTCCCGATGATAATTCCCATAATTTAGAACTACAATCTTCGCCACCTGTAATTAAATATTGTGAATCTGTTCTGAAAGCTATACACGTAATTTTTCCTTCTGTATGATCTATTGAACGAACAACACGTGCATCGTCCAATGACCAAATTTTTAAACTAAATTTATAATAATCATTACGTAAATATACCGTTTTTTTTTGTAGAAAATCCTTACATATTATCTCCATTTCCTGATACAACATATTTTCCATCAGGAGAAACACCAAGCATTTTACACGGTACATTGTACTAAAAAAACCAATATGAAGATAATTTCTTATATCTATATTATTTATAATGTTTCATCTACCGAATCAATCAATTCGCCCGTATTTGCCCACCATGTTTTTATATAGTTTTGTTCATCACTTGATAAAATCTTTCGATTATCTTCTAATATACGTAAATGTGATATTGCAGCAGAATGAGCCTAATATTAACAAAAACAAAGAAGCTACTTTTAAAGAATATTTGATTAAAAGAGAAAACATGAGACCATCAAGTACATAAGACGCTCGACAGCAAACATTTTTTTTCGTTGTGTTTGTTTTTACACTCAATATTATAATGTTTTCAATAGACAAAAAAAAAACATTTTTAGAGTTCTCCATTGACATGACACGATTGTAAAGCAAAACGAATGTGATATTTAGAATAAGTTCTCAATGTTCTCACGATTCCTATGTGAATAAACATCTTACAGTAAATTCAGCAACAATTTCTCCCATTTCATTATCATAAACTTTGACTGTTGTATCTCTTGAACCAGATAATGAAAATAAATATGAATGTGAAAGTGCAACTTGTGTCACAGGTGCACGATGATCAACAATTTGTTCAGTAAATTCACCATCAATTAAATTAAATAATTGAACAATACCACTAGCAGAACCAGCTATAGCTACATCACCTTCACGTGATATTGATAATGCTGTTATAGAATCAGTTGGTGATGATGAATCATCAGCAAAAAAACCATTAAATTGTTGTTTAACATTCAAAACATGTATTGCATTCTAAAATAAATCAATTTATTTAATATATTCAAAATAATAAAAAGAAATTTCTATGAAACCGACTTCAGCTGCTGAGAAAAGAAAATAATCATCGGTTGATATATACAGATCATTAACAGATGAATCATGATGACTTAATTTTCGAAGTAGAGCACGTGAACGAAGATTATATACATAAATATGTGCATTACTACAACCAACATAACAACACATCGAATCATGTGATACTGAAAGACTTGTAACCTATGATTGAGGAACAAAAAGCACAAAGAAACAGATAATTTGAAATAAAAATATTTTTTTCTCACTTCTGATGAATGTCCTTCAAGATGATGAATATCACTTCCAGTTACAAGTGATTTAACTTGAACTGATGTATTATCACAAGCAACAATAATAAATGTATCATCAGTTGAAATGACCATATGTCTAATAGGTGATCCAATTATATCAATTGTATTAACTAATTGCATTCCACGAAAAGTCCATCGTTTTATAGTTTGATCACGTGAAGCTAAAAACAAAAGTCAATTAAAACATAGATCTTTTCTGACGAGAGAACTATTCCAACTGTAATCCACATTTTGGTATCATGTTGAGCACATAAGGAATTTTCGATAACACTAAAAAAAAGCTGAAATGGTGTGTCCCAATAGGATCAATAGCCGTGGCTTCAGTACTTCGAAGTATTGGCGACACACGTTTTTGTCTTAAGTACGTCTTCGCTTATCTTTGGAGTTGAAAATATTCTAAAAGTCATTAGACATACTCTATCTAATAATTTTCTGATAAATATATAAAAATGAGTTATTTCAGATGACTTCAAGAATGAAGTCTCTGTTGATTTTCCATCGAGATTCAATATAAATTCAAACGATGGATTGCAATTTAGATAGTTCTCTCGTTTTCTATTTTCTTGTTTTTAATGACAAACCTGAAATTAAAATAGTATCATCTTGTGTAAGAGCAATAGCTGTAACAGCATCTGTATGTTGTTCTATTGAATGTTCAACTTCACCTGTTTCAAGACGAATTACAACAATAAATCGATCACGTGAACCAGTCACTATTTGTTCATTATTATGTGAAACTGTCATACAAAGTATTTCATCTTGATGAATACTAAAACAAAATTTACTTTTCAATTAGAATATTTAGAAAAAAAATGTTTATACCTATAAGTATTTTCTAAATCTCCTGAATTAAGATTAAATAATTTTACAGTTCGATCTGTTGATGTTGATACTAAAAATTTACTATTATATGTTAATCGAATTGATGTTATTAATTCCGTATGACCTATATGAAACAAAAAAAAAAATATATATTTCATCATTTTATTTCAATATTATCATACCAGTAAATTTTTTAACAAGTTTTTTTGATGGTATATGATACATAGCTATTTCATTATGTCTTGTTGTACAAAAAACATGTTGATTAAATGTTGTTGGAGCTATTTTAAATGCTCCATCCGTACATGGTAAAACTGTAATTATCATTGGTGGAATTGTTGATAACCATGATGAAAGTGGTACAAATACAGATGCACCACATAATTCACACCATTCATATGCTTGACTATATAATGATTCAATATGTTCACTATAACGATCTAAAGAAAAAATAATAATAGAAAGATTTATTTGAAAAAGAAAAGTTTACGTTTAATATTTTTTAATCGTAAAATAATTTCTCCAGCAAATAACATTGGATTATTTAAAATAATATTTGTAACATTTTTTATCGTAGCTTGTACAAGTAGTACATCAGCATCAAGAATATTACTACAAATTATATCAAATTCCCATAGAAGTTGTTCAATTGATAGACCATGAATTTTTGATAATAAATATTCAAAACAACACAATGTATATTCTTTTAAACGATCAATATCACCTAATAATAAAACCAAACGTTCGTATTTATATGAAATTAAAAAACGAAAAATGAAAATGAAAATGGAAATAAATACCAGAATGCATTAGTTGATACCATAATTCACCAAGTCGTCGATAATTATATGCTGTTTCCGAGTAAAGAAGAGGTTGTTGTAAGATAAAACGACGACCACTATCTCCTCTGAAGGTAAAAACATAAGAATTTATTGCAAACGAAAGAAAAAAGCTAGAAATTTAGCATGGATTCAAAATGGTGGACTAAAGAAGTCTATAGGAACCAGGTCAACGGTACCGACGTCTGAATGCACGAATTTCTGACCGGAAAACGTGGGATAATAGTAGAAAATTAGAAGCAGAAGTCCGGTGATCGGATTTTTCTACGTTCGCTTGTGACCAGGCAGAGCTGACTATCGAATCCCTAATTGCAAGTTCATACGATTTTTCTATGTTTTTCGACCGATATTTCTTCATCTAGGGATCAATAATATTTTATAGAGTTTTTTTTCAATTCAAGATTTCCTTGGTTTTTGTATCTCTTTATTTAAATGAAAGGTATACAGGTAGTATAGTTGTATAGTATATAGAGCGAAGAGCATCAGCAGCGTTGAAAACAATATTATCCAAAACTAGGTTGCTTTATTAAGGTGTTCAATAAAAAATTCGATCATGAAATTCATTATTCATATCTCTTCGTGGTCCAGAAATGATCAATTGTTACTTTTAAGAAATTAAAGAAACGTTACACGAGCTATGAACTTCTTCAATCTACTAATTGTCTTCTAGTAGTTGCTTACAAGGTCACCATTCGAAATATAGCTCGCAATTTGAGCTCGCATGGAACCCACAACAAGGTCTCTGTAAGACCAGGAAAATTTTGAGAGATTTTAACTCAGTAGGCCTTTGAAACCGAAGTATGGTCTTTCTACTGAATTTTTGATCCAATTTTACGTATTCAATGAAAAACTAAATAACAGAATTTCAATCTGTAATTAGAATATACTGACATTTTGAGCCGAAAATATTTTTCTTTTATCAAGATATTGAACTGTAAACATCTAAAAACTGGTCAAAAATTCAGTAAGACAATTTTAACTCTGCTTCAAAGGCCCATGGAGACAAAATCCTTTTTAGGATTTTTCTAGTCTTCATGAGACTTCTTCGTGGATTCAATATGAGCTCAAACAGAGAATTACACTCGAGATAATTTGCTCGTCAGTTCGACCATATACATCTACTTAGAACACATTATGATATACTTCAAGATAACTTTCCTAGAGTTAAACACAATCTTATGAATGCCACGGACAGACACTCTTCGAAATGATGAAATAAATTTTATTTTCATATTGAAATTTCTATCAAAGTCCAACTAGAATAAATTTAACATCTTTGAAATTTCGTTGACATTTACGGTTCTAACTAAAAAGAAGCATGCTTTTTAAGCCGTTAAATTGTCACGACATTACAACTATTTGACACGCAAACCGATGCATATCAAATGAAGCGTATAAATAACGTCCTTGGGAAGCTATCATGACTAGTGAGTTTATGACCGTAAATCCTACATTTTTTTCTTATAACATGGATCATAAGATCGACTGTAACACGATACATAATAGAAGCCTTAAAATGTAGAGCAAATTAGAAGTTTTACTATAAAGCACATCAAAAATGAGGATGACATGAAAAGATGCATACAAGATGTCTACATCGAACTGTATTTATGGTACTAAATTCATGATTTCTCTTTAGCAAACTCTATAATAAAATGTAGAAAAGACATCATCAATGATGAATTTTTTCTGATCGAACATGCATAAGAAATTCGCTGATTTTTCTGTGACTGTGTTTATGTAGGTAGTAATATGAAGATGAAAACTATTTTTTAATGTATGTTCTTCAGATCACTTAGAGCCTGTTGAATGTTTTTTTCATTGATGCATATATCCTCTTTCTAAGTATCCTTTTATTGTTGCTGTTGTTTTTTTTTATTACCTAATTTGAACATTTCGATTCATGTCAACCAATGGTTTTGATTCAATAAAAGCTTCAAGAAAATAATTAGCAATATCTCGATGTGCAATTCTAATATCTTCAACTCGTTTTAAATATTTTTGCTTCATATGTCGTCGAATAAATGAATGACTCCAACAAATAACAACTTTTAAATCAAAATATCTTTCAGATAAGAGTGGACCTAAATAAATAGATTTTCTTTTTTTGTAAGTGATTTTCTTTATTTGTTACCTAAGATATATTTAATTGCAATCCATAATGATGGTGGAAAACGTAAATGTTTTGGTAAATCTTTAGAAAAATATTCTAAAAAAAATTCATTATTACATGATAATATATCAAGTAATTCAATCTCAGCAATAGCTGATTGTGATGAACTTATATAATTAAATATAAATGAACAAATTTTTCGACCAAATTTTTGTTCACAATGATCTATAATTAATAAAAGAGAAAATAAATAAATAAATAAGAAAACAATATTTAAATTTAATCTTACCAATATAAGCATTAAGTATTTCATCAATATTTAAATTTGTTAAATTTAATTGTTTTTTTTGTTGTGATAAATAACTAAAATAACTTTCATGTAAAACAAGACGTAATAAATAAAATATATATGATTGTTTATCTAATTGTTGATATACACATTTTGATAATGCTTGTAAAGCTGAATCATTTACATTTTGTTGAATAGAATTTAATTCTGATTTTATATATGATGCTAAATCTTCATTAGTTATTGTTTCACTTAAAAATGGCAATTCAATTAGACAATTTTCTTTTTCAATTCGTTCAACCGTTTCACGAATTTGAATATCATAGGAAGGCGATAAATGAACACTTCGACTGACAGATAATATAACATAAACCTAAAAAAAAAGCATTTAGTACAACTTCTACGCGATCAAAATTTAAAACATGATGTAGTCGCTGTTATTAATCACGGAATGATTATTTTATTTCTCACTATCTTTTTACTTAATCCTCTACAAATGCAATAAGGAAGTAGTTCATAATAAATAATGAGATGTTATTAGCCTACGATTTGTTATCGTATTAGTAGTAGAGCAAGAACGTTGGGTTCGAAAGACTGATAAGGAAATCTCTCAAAGTATCGAATCGTTTTCCAACCGAAACGATGTTCATTTGGCGAGTACTATCAAATGATAGAAAAAGCTAGAATGATTTGCTTTGCCCGGCATTTGTTCTTGAAAATCGAAATTTGACTGAATTTTTAATAAAAAGCTTCCGCCCACTCAAGTCATGTGCAAAATCAACTTTCGAGTTTTGACTTTAAACTTTACATAACTAAAGTTCTCAATGAGATTAGTTCATCGGATAATTTGTAATTTTTATAGCATCTCCTAGCTTGAGATATGCAATATTCGAAATTCTTTCATGTGTAAAAGTAAATTCTGCTCATATATTTACATCTCAAGAAAACAGATAATAGAAAGTTCATACTTACCCAATGAACTAATCTCATTAAGAACTTTGTTTGTGCAAGAGTTTGAAGTCCAAATTCAATTTTCGATGTGATTTAAGTGGACTACAACCTTTTATTGAAAAATCTAGTAAACTTTCGAAATCTCACGAACAAAGGTCCGATAAAGTAAACAATTCTAGATTTTTCTCTTCCTTATTAGCACTCATCAAATGGACATCGTCTCAGTAGAACAACAATCGGATATCTGGAGAAGTTTCCGTGCTAAACATTTCTACAGACTGCTGAAAGATATATCTTTTTATGATAGAAAAATGTGTTAGTCTTTGTAATGAAATGTTCGAACACATGTGTCTTATTTTGTAGAACTCATAGAAATATGCTTTTGAAGAAAAGAAACTACATATGAGGTTCCCATAATAAAGATTTTTAATAAGATTCAATTAGTTTTTTTTTTGAAAAATATTAATTATTTTGTAAATTTTAAGAACATTATTCAATATTTTACTTTGTAAATTAGTTAATATAAAGAAATGAATATTAATCTACTTATGTTTACTTTGACATTCTCATATTCTTAAAGATATTCTGCAAAAAAAAAAGACATGAATGAATTTTGAGTAATTTCATTTTTTCCTTAATAGATATTTAACTGTCAATATAAATGATGTTTAGAGAATCTTTTGCTAATAGAATTTACATTTTTAGACTAATTCACCATGTCAAAAATGAATATTCGATTCAATAATTAAAATTGATAGCATTTTTCAAGAATATCTATGTGTTCTTATTCAAAAAGTCTATTTCATAGGCATCCGGCAACCTCTATAGAATAAATTAGGAAACAAAACACAGAAAACAACAAGTATCGACATTCAAAAAACTATTAAGAATACCATAAACTTTTTGTATCAGATCTCTGCCATTCAGTTTGTTTTTTTTCCGAATGATGACAATAAACTTAGCTTATTTCCGCTTCAATCTACAAACAGCGACATATGAGGAAACTAACCATGAGAGAAAAAAAAAGTTGTTTTGATTCAAGTTGAAAATACATTCATTGATAGTACTAAGTTGAGCAAAAATATGATGAGAATTAAGTTTTTTTAAATTATTTTCTACGATTATCTATACGTTTGAAACATTTGACTATTATACTACGATCTATTTAGACTCAAGTATTCTCTTTTGTTGGATAACAAAATAGGCATGAACATCAATTTTATTGTTAATATCATATTAAATATGTAATTCTTTTGAATATACATTGATTTAAAAATGATTTAATGAAAACTAATTACTTTAGGTGGAAGTAATTGAAGTAAAGCTTGATAAAATCCAATAGATGATACATGTTGAGTTGTTGGTGATATTTCTTCAATTCCATCAATCATTAATATAAATGGTTTTTGTATTTTTGATAAATTTTCTATAACTAATTGATAATATTCAATATAATTAATTTCTTGTTCATTATTTAATTTTGGTATATGTTCAAATGAACACATTTGTGTACATATTGATGAAAATATTTCAACAATATTACGTGATTTTGTTGTTAAATTAAAATAACGTATTATACATGAAACATTTTTTTCTAAACTATTTAAAAGATATTGAACTATTTTTGTACACAATAATGTTTTTCCTGATGCACGACTACCAAATATCATAAATGGATAATGTTCAGTTGTATTTGCTAATGTTAACCATTGTTTAAATGAATAATTATTATTAATAAAATAATCAAAACCAAGACATGTATATGATGAATATTTAGAATAATATGTTAAATGTACAAGAATTTCATTATAAAGAATTTGTTCAGAATTTTTATAATGATTTAATATAGATAAATCATTAAAATGTTGATTTAATGATTTAATACGTAAAAATATTGATGCATTTAATGTACGTAAATAACGTTGATAATCTGAATCATCAGATTGAAATTCACCATTATCTTTCCATGGTATATTAAGTATAGTACGATTATCTTCAATTTTAAAATCATTTTTATTATCATTATTATTTGATAATTTATTTATTATAGATTCACGAAAACGTTTTAATTTTTCTTGACGAATTTTATCCAAACGACCACCAGGAAGTAAATCAATATAACTTTCATTACCTTTACTTTTTTCATTTAAACCTTTAAACAAAATAAAAATATGCGAAATTAATATAATCATAATTATTTCATAGTAGTTTTTTTGTTTTGTATTAAAATAAAACCTCTTCTCATCTTAAGAGAGATCTTGTGATAATGAGATTTTTTTTTCTATAGAAAATTTCTTGTAGTTAATGTATTTTGACCATTCAAAAAGATCAAGATTAATATTTATTTATGTAGATGTTTTTTTTTCATATTAGTTTGTACCGTACTGTCAACGTGTACTCTAAAATTTACTCAATGACAATTAGCAAAAGAGTACAATGATTATTTTGTTTTTCTTTTATTCTGTAAATAGATACAGCGATGAAGATTATATAAAATTCTATGCTATAATTATTGCAATAAAGAAACTACAATAAAAAAAAGTTCAATATTATTAAGTTTGAACTTTTTGTTTCTCATGAAAAGGTCTAGTTGTAATAATTAATGCGTGTTCCATATATAGATCATCTTGATGTAAATTTCATTTCGGATGAATAAAGAAATCTATTATATCTGAACGGAAAAATCTTTATCGAGACAATGGTCAGAGAAAATTTATCAAACAAAAACTAAATTTATGCTCTTAATGAGATAATATCGTTGAATATTTGATTCCATTTATTTAAAGTTATTCATTGATATCATGTAAGAAATTTTTCGAAATAATTACTTTAATTTTTAATCATAATTATGAGAAATGACATTAGTTGATTTTTTTCTTGTTTCAAAAAAATTTCTTAATAAATATCTCAAGAGACAAAATGCTTAATAAAATTGATGTATGCAGATTAGAAATAAGATGAATGTTGACGTTGTATGAACTTCTAAATTAGATGTCAAAATGGCGATAGATGCTTTGTTTTTTTCATAAAAATAAAAGATAGAGAAGAAAAAAAAAACGAAAACAATCTTTTCTAGAATTTGTTTTTAAGAAACTTCAAAAAAACTAAAAACATACCGTCCAATTGTCTTAAAATACACATAGAACCAGATGGAGATAATTTAATTGAATAATTAAATAACATTTCTACATATGAAAGTAGTTGAATATCATGCATAGATTTCATATTTGATTTTTCATTTAAAACACTTAAAAATAGATCAACTAAATTAAAATATGCTTCATTCCATTCTTGATTTTCACATGAATTTATATCATATGTTGATATTGAACGTGATGGAATAGTTGAAAAATTTTCATCAGGATCTTTTAATTTATACATTGGTGGAGAAAGTTTATCATCTAATAAATACCATTCTTCAAGTAATTTAATATCTAAAACAAAAAAAAAAATTTTTAATTAAATAAATTAAAGAAAATTTTTATATTTTTACCTTTGCCTAAATCAGATGCTGAATTTTTTATATTATGAAAGTCTATTGTTGATAATTCAATAGGTAAAACAATTTGTCCATATTTATTTCCAACAAAAGTTAATAAAAAATGTCCTGTTGATGTTTGATAAGCATCTTTAAGTTCTTTCATATAACGTAATATATGATATGGATTTTTTGATAGATCAAAATTCCAATTTAAATTACAATCAATAAAATAAACATATATACCTTGTGTTAAAAAATATTGTTGTAATTTTGGTAAAGTTTCCGTTACTAACATATCACGTTCAATATCAAATTCTATATTAAAAAATAACAACAAAGCAAATATAAATATATTTTACTTCATATTTGTTGTTGTTTGTTTTTTTCTTCTTACCATCTTTATTTGATATAATAAGAATTTTAATTTGATTCCAAATTATTTTTGGCACCTGACTACCATTCAATAATACTTGACCTTGCATTACATTTGTATAGGCATCTGGATTATTATGATTATTAACGTATCCTGATACCATTCTTGATGTAAAAATAAAGATTTGTTATTCACGTCGTTAATTATATTGTCATTTATGAATCCAACAACTTTGAACGATTGACATATCAGAAAAAAAAGCGAATGAGAAGCAGAATATATGATGTTGAACTTTATTTTTCTGTAGATTAACGATGATAAAAATAAAAAAGCACTCATCAAAATAGATTTATGGACTATGATTCCTCATTCAAGTGCTAATATTGGAAAAATTGAACTCACATCTTCTTCTTTTTTTTTTTCATTAATTTTTCTGCTTTAAGTTTTTTTTGCTCAGCGTGATATAAAACAGGTTTTTTTTTTTAGTTAGAAGTGTCTGACAGACTCTATGTGCATCATTAATCAAAATGCCAAAAAAGTATAGAATGACAATGTGTCATTCTCTTATATCTACAAACGAAAATGAAAGGAGCGTGTCCTGATGAATGAAAAATAAAATTTTTATTTGTATTTATATGTTCGACTCGTAGCTATAGAAAATAGTGATGTTTATCTAATCATTTTATATTTTCTCTTGTGTTCTTGTACTCAATCAATAAACTGATCTATACTCTATTATTAGAGTTTCAACATGCCTCGCGAGATACTACTTAGATTGACTCTTTGTCCTGTATTATAAGGAAAAAAAAAAAGTAGTAAGTTATATGAGTACATACGAGACACACAGAAATAGAAAGGAAGTCAATCAATAAAGCACTGAATAACGTCGTCATTCGATGACAATGAAAACAAAATTTAGACAAATATATTTTATTCTCATATCTTCACTAGAATATTTCATCTGCTTTTTCTTGGTCTTTTATCGACATATACTTCCTTTGCTCTCTATTGTTTGAACACGGTTAGTGTTTTTTGTGGCTCTCATTTTTTTTTATTACTATCATCTCAGACACCCAGTTGATAAGTAGCAGTAGTTAGAAAAAGCATAAGCTCTAATATGAAGACAAAGTAGGCGTTTTTATCGCGTGTTTTAATAACATCCAACATTTTTTTGCTATTCTTCTCTTTTTTGCTCTTCTCGTATTCCGACGTCGAGAGATGAAAGTTGACGACAGCAGGAAAGTTCAAACATTCACTAGCTCTTACTAACATCATACAATAAACTGACAGAAAACGACTGTGCGTGTTAAAATAAGTTTTGCTTTTTTTTTTGTTCTCTATCGGAACTATCATAGTGTTCTCTGGAGTAATAGAAAAAAAGAGAAATATACTACCATCACCATCACTACTACCATCATCATCATCATCATTTTTTTTCTTACAGATGAGTCGATTACAATACAACAATATGACTCGATTATATATTTTTACGAAGAACTGTTGCTCTTGTAACTGCTACAATCACTGCTATGACTTAGTTCTGTCAAGCATGAGAAAAATAAGAAAAAAAATGCAATTAGCCTAGCAGAAAGTCGTCTATATTCATTTTTCGGAAATCCTAAAACAGTTTGGCTCGTTTGCATATCTAGTGTTAGAAAGCGAGAGTAGATTGAATCAAATTTTCCGAAAAGGAACGAACTTAATAAATAAGAAATGATCTGTACCATCGTACATTCTATTCATATTTTTTCTATGAATGTGAAAGCATGCAGTAGAATAATATTTTTTTTGTGCAACACGCAAAGTATATTCTTATCCATTGTATTCATTTATATGATTGCTAAGCTTAACACAAACTTCTATACAGTTTGCGTGTATCTTTATATGCAATAGAAACTAATCGAGTGTAAATATGATAGACATAACATAGGAATATGCGAGGCATTAATGATTAAAATCACAATATGGATGGTAGAAAATCTTTTTATTTATCAAGCGAAAGCAAAGGCTTTAGGATAAGTAGAAACTATTAAGGTATGGATATTTATAGAATATAATCAAAACAGTCAGGTTGAATAATAGCTTAGTTGAAATGTCATACGACTCTACCACAAGGCATTAACAAGGCTTCTTATGATTTCACGGTTAATTCCGGTCTCTTGGCAGTATCATGTTTGTTTAAAGAATACAGATAAATTTATATAAATGTTTCGTTATCATTAGGTTTTTCGCTTTTTGCAATAGGCTGCATGGTGTTTTTATTCACAGCATTTCTTAATTGTCATGAAAATGAAAGATTGAATTGTAATGAATATTCACGACGAATAATAGGGGATGTGTATATGCTTGTATTATAGCGTCGTACATGATTTACATTTTGATGGTTCATATAGTTCGAGGTTATAATTGGCTATTTCCATGACCTCATGCAAAGCAATAGGGTCATCTATGAAGAAATATGAAGCAAAACAAAAATTTTACATGTCTTTCGTGTACAAGAAACAACATCGAAGTGCTTTTGTCACTTAACATTATCTTTTCCTTTCTTTATAACTCAAATAGACATATACAATAGTCATGCTGTGTCATGTAACCCGTTGTACTTCCCGTGTAAATTTGTTTACGATCGTCTTTGTATTTAATTTGGATGCTTGAAAAATTTCCAAAGAAAAAAAATCTCGCCTCTCAAATCGTTCTATTTTCTTGGGCGAAATAAAGCGGGTTGAAAGGGTAGTGGACCATATGCTGAAGAGGCAAAACACATGCTTAACGAACCGACAATGACACAGTAGCTTCCTTTCGCTACTTTCCGAATTTCTGATCTCGTTCATGAAGACATTCAACAATAATGGATAAATGAAGTGTGTCAATTAATATGACTTAAATATTTTTTTTTACAGAAACAAAACACATTCAAAAAAATAACAAAAACAATTAACAATTATTGTTTTTCTCAAGGCTAATATATTACAGACAACTGTTATTAATATGCTTATTTTAAGACTAAGATTAGCATAATATTGAATAGAAAATGTTTTTTTAATAAATAAAATGACATATTTATAACTCTACAAAAAAAAAAACAAACATTTTCAATTTATAATCCATTATATTATAATGATATACTTGTGTACAGAGTTTTTGTTGTTATTATAATAAACTTTTGATCTAATTAAAGAGATAGAAATTTGCATATTTCTATTGTTAGAATATTGTATGTATTAGAACGTGGTAGTTCAAATTAGGATAGTTAATGAATATATATTTGAACTGAAAGTTTAATTGCAATTTATCAATATGCGATATGGCTGATTGACATTCTCATCAAATGAAATAGAAGTTTCAAGTTCCATCGAAATTTCAAATGTTTAATATACTTTCGTAAACATAAGAAGAACATGCATGGCCTATTTTCCATGTACTTAGGGCATAATAAAAATAGTGATGGAGGTATATTATTTCTGTAAAAAGCTTACAGAAATTTTCTTTCTATATAATCTGATAATAAAAAAAAACAATCCTCTACATTTCTGTGATATTTGATCATTGTTCAACTAATTTTAGAAGAATGAAATTTCAATAAGAACAGTTTATTATAATATATGACGGTAATCTTAAATAACACTTAATCTTCGATATGCAATGTCTTCTTCGTTTCTCGTCTCCTCTAATGTGTAGCTGTCTATAGATATTAGAGGGTACAGAAAATGATGATGATAGAACTGAAAACTAAACATAAAAATAAGCCTCTTAAATCTATATCTGATTAAATGTTGAAAATAACCATTCTTGTTATTCACACTTAATTGTATTTTTTTACATTCTTCTTCATTCAAAATATTCATGAATTTATTTATAGCACGATACAACGATTCGCAGTCGTTTAAATTTTGTTTGATTAAGTCAAATGACAAAAAATTATAGGATGCTAGATCCGCAGAATCATTGCAGTAACAACTTAATGAACTTATTTCTGTATTTCATTTTTGTTATATCACCAGTACTTTTTATATACCCTACTGTATACAGGTACCTCTAGATATCAGAGATGACAAGAAAAAAGTGAGAAGAACAACAAAACAAACATTAAAAAGAGGATATACATTGCATATAAAATGTGATCTAGAATTATTCTTATCAAAATTTCATTATTATAATATTAGTGAAAAACATAATGAAACATTAGAGAAATGTAAGGCACTAGTTTTTACTTTCAGATGATATAGCGAGAAAGTTTCTTTAAGATTTTCATAAGGAATTAAAATACCTCTGCCACTACTTTTAATACTCTCTAAGTACATTCGACAAGAATGTTGAAAGCTTTTATATAAATTTATTATGAGTAACATCGATTTTCAACACCCAATAATTAGTTTAATTTCTTTAGAAAGAAATCCTTAACCCTACTATTATTCTACAAACGAACAACATTGTTGTTAACTTATACTGATGAATTATTACCTCTAACATGAACAGAAAAATTAATTATTTCTACCGTTACTCAGGCAGAGTTGAATGCATCTCAATATAACTTTAATTCTTTGTGGATGTATATCCTTTATTCCAAAACATATTTTAATACATCAATAGACTTGAACAGACTTTATGTTTATTTATATTTTACTCACATACCATCGGTTTATTTCGACTATTTTGATATATTGATAGGGTTCGATAATCACACGATTTTAGTCAATATAATCTGAATTCTGTTACAAATTAGATAATAAACATATAAAACACTGGTGCAAATATTTTATTTTTTATTAGAGATTACTTTATAAGTTTTAAATATGATATAAACATGATAAATTACAATAAAATCAACCTTATTTCACAATATAAATTAATTATTCGAAATGTGGTTGTTTTTTTCCATTATAAAAGTAAGATATGATACAATTCCTTTTTTGTTTCTTTTTATAGAACATAACAAATTTAAACAATAAATAATTCCAATTGAATTATTTACTGTATAGCTTTCATTGGTGGTTTTCGAGTACGACAATATCGAATGATACCTAATACAACACCAAATATAATAAATAAACCCGAAAGACTGGCAGTACCAATCCATATATATCGTGACGTATATCCACCACAACGAGCTTTACGAATAGAACAAGATTTTGTTGTTTCAGGTGATTCAAGTTTTAAAATATAATCCCATGCATCATGAATAGATTCTATAGTAAAGTCAAAATAACAATGACGACAACCGATTGTTTTATTTAAATAATGTTTGTCTGAATCAATATCTGTATCATAACTAAAATATGTCTCTATTGGATGTTCACATTCCTTTGATATTGATACATTAAAATGAATATAATCATCCGTACAAGTTGAATCAATGATGCATATTTGACATTTAGTACTTTGACCGTACGTAAAACAAGATGCGAAAAGTAAAAGAATTGTTATCATCATTATAAACACATAAAATAAATGTATCGTGACTTAGGTTACTTAGAAAGCTGTTTTTTTTCTTTTTCTTATCTTAACATTAGAAAAATAAGTCTCATATCCTACGTTAGTTTGTCCTCGTAGTTGATCAAAATTTTGTTGTATGATTATCATCAATTATTTGTGATTAAATGAATATAGTTTTTTAATTTCTAATAAAAGTGAAGTATTTCGTAACAAGACAATCCAATAGCAGAAATTAATATTTTTTTTTAACCTGCTGATTTTCATATTTTTGATAAAAAGAAACAACAATATTCTTATCAGATTTGTAATAGATAAGACTGTCAATGTACTTTGAATGACGCATCTTTTTGAGAGATATCTTAGACGAAAATATGCGTATATAAAATCTTTTTGGAGATACCCCTATTGAATCTAACTAGTAGGTTAATTTAGAATCTAGTTGAGATCAAAATTGTATTGTTTAACTTCGAAATAAAATGAGTGTATGAGTAATTTATTTGTTGAATAAATAATCTGTAAAAATATCGTTAATATATTATTTACTATTAATAAGTAATATATTAATTGCTAGATAGTATTTTTTTCAAAGACGATCTAAAATGTGTGTTGAAGTGTACAGTGTTAGAGATTTGAACTCTTTTTCTTCGCATAGGCTATGACAGACAGTCTCTAGAAACCATCACAGGCTATGATAAAGGATCTCCAGAGATCATCACAAACCGTGATACATGTTGTTGATACACAGCTATGAACCATATATCACTAACATCTCATTGGAATATATCAATTACTTCTTTATTGCAGTGTTTGGTGAATTGAGTAAAAATTGATGCAGAAATTCGTCTCAAAATAAATCAAATAAAACAATTTTCTTGAGATTAGTAATAATAGTTGCATTGTGTCTCAAATTTTAATCTCATAGGGATTACGCTAATAGCTTTTTTTATTTTGAACTTAATACATAGCTCAACAATTTAATGTACGATAGGAAATGTGGAATGATTGATCCTATTGCAATAATTAGTAAACAGTTTGCTTTTCATTCAACTGGCATGAACAGAAGAAGCTCGAGAAAAATATTTATTTGAGCTGTTTATAATTAGTACTGCAATATAATAATAATTATTTGTTATTCACATTAAGAGACACGAACAAACAGTGAATATTTTTCTACGTTACAAATCTTTTTTTTTTTACATCAAGATCCAAAATTTGAAATGTACGCAAGAAGAATCTGTTACTTTACTTTTATTTGTTGGATATCGCCTGGCAATTTTTTGTAAACACTTATACAAATAAATTATATATCATATTGTTGAGAAATCTTTTTTTTATATATTACTTGAAAAAATTTTGTTTTTCGATTCGTACTCATATTTCAGACTCAAGTGCATGCTCATGCCAATTGTGATAATTACACAAAAATGCAAATAAACCGGAAAATATTTTGTTTGAAAAATTCTTCGTCAAATTAAATGATTGTTTATGCTTTTGTATCAAATCTCGTAGAGAATCAATAGATTCCTTCAGTTATTGCTTTCTGACTTAGATATTTACGTAACACTCTATATAGATTATTGAAATTTTAAAAAATGTTTTACTTTTTATTTGTTCAGTAATAAAGAACTATTTTATTTTTATCTTTTCGAATGTCGTTTTCTCTTATTTGTTAGATTCATGAAAAATTTTAAAAACTCAAATATATTATTTCAAATAAATAAATAAATAAATACATTCGTATATTTATCAATTCTAACTTTTGACATTTATTTATTTTTTGTTTAAATATATAATATTATAGAAAGGAAAAAATCTTTTTATAAATATCCACAATAAAAACAACAAATCATACAATAAAATACATGCAATTTTATACAAAAAATCTGCGAGAGTAATTATATAGTTGAATAGAGGATGACTAAAATGCTGCAATAAACAGTACGAATAACTGTTCGATTAAAAAGAATAGGGCCAAAAAAAAAGAGACTAAAGAAAATACCTGATAAGAAACAATGTCTCATCTAAAAACCAATAAATTATTTTTATGGAGAATGATTTAGAAAGTATTTAGATTAATATATCGCTAAATAATAAATGCATATGTTATAGTCGTTGATTTTTGCTCATAAAAAATAAGACTTAGAAGAAAAGAAAATGAATTTAGAATCATTGTTGAAAAGATGGATATGAACGCATTATTGATTCATCAGAAACTGATATTGAATTAGCGCCAGGAAAATTTGCATAACCAAAATTCTATTAAAGAATATATTTTATTTTATGTATTGAATAATAAACAAAATGACTTACAGAAATGTTCCATGTTGGGGCAAAAAGTTGTGGACTACTTGTTGTAAGAATTTGAGAGAGAAGCTCTAGACTAAGACCATGAGTTAGAGGTAATGGTTCATTTTTATGCATTACATATGGATGCATTGGCTCATATGAGAATGATGATGAATGAGTTGAATTGTTCGAAATAAAATCCATATTAGAAGAAATGATTTTGTTTAATTGATGTTTGTTTTCAACTGTAGGTGATGTACTTTTTTTATATATTTGTTGATTATTTATTGGAAGATCTGATGATTCATTCAATGTATCATTAATTGCAATAGTTTCTGAAAGTTTTCGACGTAGATTAGCATTTATAACACGAAGTGAATCTCGACGATGTTTAAGTTCATCAAATTTCTTTTTTAAAGATGCATTTTCAGATTTAAATTGATATAAACATGATAATAATGATGAAACATCACGTGGCATATTTTGTTGAAGAAGAAAATCACTTGTTAATTCCCATTCTTGTTCAAGAAATTCTTCTAAAGTTTGAGGTGGAAATAAATGTTGTTCTAAAGTTTTTAATGTTAAAGACGAATTATTTAATGATTGATGAGAATAAAGATCAATATTTGCTTGATCATTTTTAGTTTGAGATTCTATAGATTTTAGATTTTTTTCTAGAGCTATTGAATGATTACTATGTTTCAATTGAGATAAATGTGGTTTTTTTGATGGAGGACGACCAACTGGTCTTGGACCGTCTTCATTTGAATAATGACGTTTTTTATGAAATTGTACAGCTTTATTTAATTTATCTTTTTCAATTATTTGATAATCGTCATTATTCACTTCAATTCTGAAAGGATAATTTTAAGACTTTCTTCTTTTTTTTTTTAAATAAAAAGAATTTGATGTTTACTTGATTTTTGGAGTAAACGTCTCTTTTGATGAAAGAATATTATTAATATTAGAAGAAATAGTTGTACATATAGATGTTAATGATTGCTGATCACTATTCGCATTTGATGATTTTAAATTAACAATTGTTAAATCTCTGTTCAATGATAAAAAGAAAATAATTTAGAAATAATAATGAATTTTGTAAATAAATATGTGAAAGAAAAAAAAAACTTGTTCAATTCAATATATTTGTATTAATGAGTCATTTTATTTTCTATAGAATTGAAAACATCTCTGTTTCCGTAGCTTCCAAATTGCGACCGAAAATTAAGCCAATTGAGAGAAAAGTGGTCGCAATTCAGAATGAATAATTTTACGTTGATCTCATTTTTTATTCGATTCCAAATTGCGACCACTTTTTAAATTATCAATCAGTCAACGCTCTTGATTGAAAAAAATTTATTGAAAAAACGACTACAGAAAAAAAATTATTCTTCATCACTACTATCTTTAGTATCTTTTATAATTACATTATTTTTCAAAGTAATAGATCGAGAGCACGATTTAAAAGTGCAGACATAAAATGATGAAGTGTTCGTATTTTCTCGTTGTAAATGATATAAATAATTATTGTATAGAATGGCTTTTTCCCCTTTTCGGTTGTTGACTAAGCAAATTTCGTATCTATTGTGTGATATTCACTAGCGATCTTTTTTTTTTACGCTTATATATCAACATTATCATTACAGTACAACTCATACTCATATACATCGATAAATAATCAATCAAAAGTGGTCGCAATTTGGAATCGAATAAAAAATGAAATCAACGTAAAATTATTCATTCCAAATTGCGACCGCTTTTTTCTTAATTGACTTAATTTTCGGTCGCAATTCGTACATAGCCTCTGTTTCATCTCTTGATTAGTACAATTTATATTTACTTGATAAGAAAAATAACCTTGCAATCGCTTTTGAATACTACGTGTCGTTTCTTAAATTATCTTTAATGGCTCAAATATGCTGTACAAAAATTATATCAATTACATAAGAGCTATCTATTCGAAATGTCATTGCAAAGTTATAAAGAATAATATTCAAATACAAACCTTGTATCTGTGATTGATGGATTTTGACGTGGTGATGAAAAAGAAGCTCGTTCTTGTCTATTGAATTCAAGATTATCTGAATGATTAATTTTTGATGTAACTTTTAATAAATTTTGACTAGTTTCATTGTTTAATTTTTCTTGTGTTTCTGATGATAATGAATGATTTGTATGAGTTCTAGTAGTATTAACAAAATCAGATAATTCCGATGGATTTCCTTTGTTTTGTGAATTCTATATCATCAAAACAAGAACAAATAAAATATGGATATAAAAATTTAATTTACATGATTTCGTTCTGATGATTGATATTGAAATGCAGGCACTTGTCTTATAAATTTCTAAATCATTAAAAAAAAATATTTATTTATTTAATAGAATATTCTTATAGTTTCGTACAGAAAATTTTGGTCGATGATATTCACAATAAATTGGATATTGACAATTATTTTTTCTAACATCTTCATATAATAATCCCGCTTGTTGTGCACATGTAACATGAAATAATTGTGAACAATTTTTAACTCTACATTCGCAACATGCACCTTTAATTGCATCTGATTTTGAACGTCCATTTTTAATACAAATTGAGCATGGTTGACCATAACGTATTGATGGAATTTTTGAAAGTATAATTGGTTCCATGGTTTCATCATTACCAAATGATACCTCAGGTATATAAAGTGCACATATAACATGTGCCCAAT